GAACATCTCACGTGCTCGCTCAACAATACGTCTCTCTCTGTCCGCAGTTCAATTACCCCTTGTTGCCGTCAGTTCTTGGTGGCTTATATACAAGAATACCGCATATCTAGTAACCTCTCGAGGTTTCATGAAAGTTCTAGAAGCGCATGACGTGTTACAAGGGTCACGGGACCTCTGCTGTCGTAACAATACGAACAGAAATAAAGCTGAAGACTTTTCGAAACATATCACGCAACTTGCTGTAAATACTTAACAAATTCACCAAACGCTAGCGACCCCTAACTAATAAAAAATGCCTCAAAAGAGAATTCTGAGACTACATCCAGCCGTTTCAAAGAACCTCGCGAGTATAAATCAAATATTATACAGCTGTTTCCTGGATGATTACCAGATATTTCATTGTCCTTTTGTCATCTTATCTAAGACTACTTCGGAATGAAAGAACAAAACAATGATATATATAAAGAACGTAAGCTGCTGTCTCCACAAGAAAATACGAGTAATAACTATAACAAACGTACATATTAGCACTGTTTAGTTATATTAGAACTGTTTAGTTATATTAGCACTGTTTAGTTATATTAGCACTGTTTAGTTATATTAGCACTGTTAAGCTATATTAGCACTGTTTAGTTATATTAGCACTGTTTAGTTATATTAGAACTGTTGTCTGTTTATTGTTCTAATTTATTGGCAGCAAGTCACAGACACCTACTGTAAAGAATCTGGTCCCTATAAAACTGACAGTGAGAATAAGGAAGTCACTGTGTTATATTTTATTTAAAAAATAACCATGCAGCAATAGAAGACGTCTACAAATATTCGTACACGTCTTAAAACGTAGTAACTTTAAAACCGTACAGTACATAATGTTCGATGCATACTGAAGTTTCATTCCATCTCTCGTCGATTTCAGCCTGTACCAAGGTTCAAGATCTTATCAACAGCCACTATTCAGCAAACAGCACATACAATTCTGTGGTACGTGGAATTTAAGTATGTTCCTTTCGTGCAATAACAACTCCGAACAATTCTCTTGCACGGGCCATATCGAATAATACAATAAAGTAATGGCAAGCAGTTCAATAATTACGTGAAGTCAAAACGGATTCAGACTACGTACAAATACTGCCATCTCAATAACTGAGTTACTGTAGTTACAAATCTGAATCTGCTGGAGATATTGGAATTGGAATTTTAAAACTGAGCGGCGATTTGTGTGTACGTTAGCTAATCGCCTGCATCAGGTATACACGTTATTAGTTATGAACTACTTACCAAAGAAAATGCCGTCATCTAGAAACATCCTCTGCTGAATAACACCACTGACTGTCATTTTAATAACACAATCGCAGCTTAAAATGCAAAGAGTGTTCAAGCGCACTATGCCTCGAAATCCACATTTTTCGACCTACACAACAAGTTAATTACTAAGGCCTCGACTTAAGCCTACCTACCCACACACTCTGGTAACATTATTCATGCGTGCTAAACTGTGGATCCGAAGTTCCGTACTTCGCATCCCATTACTGCCAGAGAAACAAATGGCGCTCTGCACCTTGGAGCTATGAGTGCGTTATAAGAATAACGGTCAAGTCGCACTAGTCTGTGATGTTTACTAGCTGCCTTTCCTCATTCTATCACTTAAGAATTAGGGACAGCTAGCGCAGATAGTCCTCGAATAGCTTTGCACAAAATTCAACAAACAACAACTTTCATACTTGCTGAAAGCAAGAACAAGTAAGACTTTTAATAACTTAATGGGAACATTTTGTCCTTAAACTCGAAAACATATTGTTATCTGCATTCTCGTTTAAAAAATTCGGTTTGGTAGAATATGAAAGTTAGTTCTATAACATTTCCTGTATCAAATGTGTACCCAACGCTACCGTATATTTATCAGTAATAAATATGTCATTTAGGTAATTTTAAACAGAGCTAACAGGCTATTTTTTACCACGTGATTAGGCTTTATATTTAACCACAAGGTTACACTTTTTTCACAAGTTCATCATTAAATTAGGCTTAAATTGATGTGAGCAGATTTGCAAGGCAAAAAAAATATATATATATATATAAATACTACCGACATGCTTAAAATATGCTGTATTAAGGCATTTTCAGAACTAAAATATACTTAATATTGGAGCACTTCTAGTCATAAAATTCAATTATTTATAGACAACCTGTTTACATTATTGTATTAATAACCCGGAAATTATGACATTTTGATCGACAACTGTATTTTTTTATTATCAGGTCGGATCTGATAAATATTCATATTAGTGGATCAAAACATATCTTGTTACCCCCCTCCCTCACCCCTCTTTTTAGCAGGTTGTCCATAAAATAGGATTTTATTTTCAGTTATTTCCTCTTAGCGATATTCTGGAAGCGTGCAGTATTTTCGTTATAGGATTTCACCAGAAAATTACGATTATTTACTTAAACAACAAATGAGATGTCACATATGAAATCAAATTTGAGTTTAATAATGTTATTACTAATTATGTAACTTATGATCAGAAAAAATGCTTAAAATGTACTAAAAGATTTAAAAGTACCGTATATGATCACGCAGTTTAAATGATTAGAAAAGGGAACGGTTCATATTGATTCGAATAACAAACTTCACGTGCATAACTTAAGGTATTATTGTTGACAACAATACAATTAGAAATTAATAATGGATATCAAAATTAATTCAGGAAAAATCCTTAGAAACAAAACAAAAACATTGGAAAACAGTTTATTTCACACAAAGATGAGTGTTTTTGACAGTAATCCTTTACACTTCCATTTTCTGTCTTTCTCATTCTATGACATCTACTATTTTAATAAACGTCTTTTTTTACCTGTTAGGAGCCAATCGAAGGATTTGATCCAGAAAAGTTTAAAAAGGCTAATCAATTAAAAAAGGTGGGTAACTAAATATATTGTTATCTGTAACACGTTTATAGTGTTAGTAACCTAATCACTTATGATAAGTATACAGATTAACAGGTGGAAACAAACACTGAAAACAATTTACAAAGCTGAGTAATTTTAAGACATTACATTTTTAAAATGTGAGGTGTAACACAGTCTACTACATGATAATTTATTTTGTTGTTGTTTTCTTGCTCTGGAAAACGTGTAAAAATACATAATCTTTAGGTAATATATAACTGAAAAGATATGAATATGATATTACACTGAGAATATAATGTTGAATAAAGTGCGAATATAATAATACACTGAGAATATAATGTTGAATAAAGTGTGAATATAATATTACACTGAGAATATAATGTTGAATAAAGTGCGAATATAATAATACACTGAGAATATAATGTTGAATAAAGTGTGAATATAATATTACACTGAGAATATAATGTTGAATAAAGTGCGAATATAATAATACACTGAGAATATAATGTTGAATAAAGTGTGAATATAATATTACACTGAGAATATAATGTTGAATAAAGTGCGAATATAATAATACACTGAGAATATAATGTTGAATAAAGTGTGAATATAATA